TTCAAGAACGGCAGAGGATGGACAGGAGCTCTGTGAAGCTTGATAAGAAGGAGAAGTAGTAAGAATGGAAGGAAGAGGGCAAGGGCATGTTTATAGAGGAAGAGAGACCGCCCAAATTCAAATTCTGGAAAAACGGCGGGTTGGCTGCTCGAGAACCAATGGCAGCCCGCCACGTGTCCCCATTTATGGCGACGTCAGAACTGAAGAGACAGGTTGAAGAGTCGATGAGCCAACCGGGCTACTTTCAAAGAAGAGGACGTTAGCCGAGAAGGAGGACAGGGCTAGTTTGCAGACAGTAATGTTAACTAGCCTGGTCGCCCTACAGCATTTTGAAGACCGAAGAAATGTTATCCCGGTCGAAATGAGTAATCCCAGTCACGCTTTCGCGGACGAAATTAAGGGGCAATTGAGAGGGAGATTTATGATCTGGAATTGGGCCGAGGTAACGGCCGAGCAGGTTGAGAGCCTAATGGTGCATGGGGCCGAGATGACCGGCGATCCGCCCGGGGATGGGCTGCCAGAACTTGGGCCGGGCAGGAGTTAGGCCAAGTATGCGCCGCCCCAGACCGTAAAGAAGCTGCTCGGCAAAGAAGTGCTCGGTTGGACTGAGCTGCTTGATTAGGCGATGGTGGAGCCTGTCAAGCTGAGTGACCGGCGCCCGGAAAGGCGTGGTAAGCCGAGGTAATCGTTTGATCGGCAGGAAGGCCGACCACAGGAGGTGCCCCGGGCTAGGCTTTGCCGAGATGCCGCCTAGCCCGGTCCTCCTTGGGCTTAGCCAGTGAAGTGCTTGGGTATGAAGCACAGCACAGCCGTGGATAGAGTAGCTCGGCTGCCGAGCTCCAGCTGAGAAGGCAGGCAGTTGAGATTAGGTGATGATCAGCAAGGTTTATGCTAACAGATGGGATAGCGGAGCCACGTGTCAGGAGATGACTAGGAGTGGATATGGGGCGCAGAGGGTATATAAGCATGTCTGCCCCCCCCATACGAGGGACGACGAACACTTGGTAAGAAAACTCCTACACTCTAACCCCTCCTCTCTCTCTCTATCCTAAGGTGTGGGCTAACTTGATCGTCGGAGGGTTTTTCCGGCTACACACTGCCGGGTAGCTCACCATTATTTGCTCGCAGGTGATCGGACAGAGACGGAGCTCGGAAGAAAGGAGTACGGGCTTGCCGGAATATTTGCTCCCCGTACACTAGGAATTAAAACTTAAATCTTCTGAATAATATGACAATTCCAAGAGGATTTCAACGCCAAATGTTATAATTGTATTATTATTATAATTTGGTAATAAATAGTAGAAATGATAGAATTATAGCAATGTGCTCCAATGGTTAGATGTCATTTTGGCAGAACCAAACACTGAAACTGGTGTATTCCCGAACACATTAGTTTCTGTGTTTGGTTCTGCAAAAATGACGATATTGTAAAAATTTATTTGTTTTGCTAAGAGGAAGAGAAGAAGGTAGGGAGAGCAATGGTTGATTTTGGTTGAGTTAATAAATATGACAGCTGCCAAAACTTGTATCAAATTTCGCACAAGTTTTAGCATTTGCCAAATTTGATAGCACCATATTCACCATTAGAGCACCACTGTTGTTATATTATAGCAATAACAGTTTCAATGACAAACCATTGGAGACACTCTAACTAGGTAAACGTAGATCGGATTGGGTCAGATTACCTTTCATTTATCATCCATTCGAATTTAGACAGATTTGAAAAAATCAATCTACATTTATTACCTTAGTTAGCAGATGCAGATTGAGTGAGCCATACAGGTTGGGAGATAGATGCGAATAGATTTGGCGATTTGAATTTTACTACTTTATGTTTTTTTTTGGAAAAAAATTCATTTTAGAGTAATTTTTTTGCTATTTTTGACTTTATTTGAATCTAAAAGACTTATTCTTCATTTTTTATAATTAAAATAAAGGTCAAATTTTCAAATTTTATAAATAACTAATATTATTACTAAGTAAAATGTATTTTTTCAACATACAAAATATAAAAACATAATATCATTTTCTTAAAGAAGGTTAGAGGATCGGGTTAGGTTGGGTGACCTCCAATCTGCTGTCCATTCAAATATAAGCGAATTTAAAAAATTTCTATTAACATCCAACATTTCTTGCTATCAAAACTGTTAAAAGTAAGCGTATTGAATCTGGTCGGTTGATCTTAACGGATCACTTGAGTTCATGAGCATCCCTAACCCTAACCATTCACTTTAAAAATTTTGAAAATTTGTTAAAATTCTCTTACTTATGAATTACTTTGCGACATTATGTAAAAAGATAAGATATGAGTAATCATTACAATGGTATAGCTATGAGTTCTCCAAAAGCGAAACATTATAAAGAACGTATATTATATCTCTTTTATAAATAAAAAATAAATGATATAATTTTATATTTTTTAAATTATAATAAAAAAATATCATAATTAAATATAACATGAGAAGGCATAACTAAAGAACTCATAGTCATAACTCAAAAAAAAAAAAAAAAAAACATAATTAAAGATGCATATGATCCATAATTTTTAAGAGTGTGTATATTAGAATTTCCCTCTCAAAAATGGGCAATACTTGATTCTACAAATTAAAAGTAAGTAAACAAATAAATGTCATAAAAAAAAAAAGAAAAAAGAAAAAAGAAAAATGGGCAGATAATTTTCTCCCGTTACACACATTATGTATGGAAGATAGCGTTAGTAATAGAAGCTTCAAATAGGAAAATCAATAATGGATAAATCGGTGCACAAGCAGGGACGGATGCATGATTTTAATATCGGAGGGGCGAGTGTAGATGTAATCAAAAAATTTATAATGAGTATGTGATATACAATATCAATTTCTACTCAAATGTCACAATAAAATATAATTAAATGTTTCCATTCATCGTATATAATTACAAAATATCATCAAAATACAATTGGATATGTTCTAGTAAATCCATATTAATTTTCAAAAAAATAACTATTTGCTTTACATATCTACTTAGGCATCTAAAGATGTGTTCGGCGTTCTTTCATAATATAAAAAGCATCTATGATGGAATCTACATCAAAATCTCAAGCAATGTCTTTGTCAATATATGTTAACAAGTAACTTGAAAGAAAATCATCCTCTATCCTGTTGCACAATATAGTCTTTACAATTTTCATGGCTAAAAATGTACGTTCTGTTGTCGCCGTAAAAACTGAAGAAAATGCACCATTGACTACGAATATTTTGTAAGTTCTGCGAGTTCTTTTCCAAGCTTTCATATCATTTACAGAAAGAGAGAGTAAAGTGGAGAAGGGGGCTTAAACAATTAGGTTAATAAAAATTTGGGAACATTTTCCAGCGTGGGACAGGTTACACGTGAGTAGTATTTTTTTATTTTTTTATTTAGTTATAACCAAACAATTAAAAAATTTGGGCCCTAATTAGGCAAAAAAGACTTTAACATATTAACAAATAAATTCTCAATTATTTTAACATTACTAAATTTAAAATAAAAAGAACTTATACTTCTTATTATTATTTTTAGTATTTATCAAAACAAATAATTAAATTTTTAAATTTTAAGGTATAAAATTTACGGGGTGCGGTTCTTAAACTTTTTGTAAAAATTTTGGGGGTGACGAACCTATATAATTTAAAAATATTTGTAATTTTTTTTCAAGTTATTTTCAATTAATCAAATCACAAACGTTACAAGTAATATATCCGCCTAACACAAAACCTTATAATTAGTTGGATTTTTTAAAGCATTTTCTCCAACTTTTCTGACCAATTTGCATTACGAACATATAACACACACACACACACACAAACTCTATTTAGTTGGATTTTTTAAAGCATTTTCTCCAACTTTTCTGACCAATTTGCATTACGAACATAACACACACACACACACACACACACACACTATTTTAGTTTGAGTTTTTTAAATTAAGTTTTTTAAAAATTAAATTTTTTATTTTTCGTATTTTTTTATTTTTAGTGAATATTTTTAAAATTTTAAATATTTTAAGATGTGTTTAAAAAGCAAAATATTTGTAAAAAATTAATAAAAATACAAAAATATGAAAAATATACTAAATTTTCGTTTTTTTTTTGTATTTTTGGTAATTATTAAATTTTTAAAAGATTTTTTCACAGAAATTATACTTTTTAAGTGTATTTATGTTAGGTGTGTCTAAAAATTTAAAAAAATTGCATAAAATATTAAAAAAATCAGTAAAAATAAAAGAAATACGAAAAATAAAAAAATAAAATTTTCTGAAAATATATTTTTAGATAACTCAAACCAAACAAAGTGATTGAGAGTTTGACTCTTGAAACAAAAATAAACGAGTTTTTAATTTTATCAATTTAAATTCTATTTTTTTTTATTTATCTTCATTATAACCCATCAATAAAAATGATATTTTAGTCATTAAATACAACAAAAAAATATTTTAAACATTTTATGTACACCAACATTAAATTTAATAGCTAAAATAATCATTTTCTATCTACTTTAGTTAACAAATATAGACAAATGATTTATATTAAATTCAAATCAAAACATTATGATTTGAATTGACAAAATGAAAAATGAAAAATTTATTTTGTTATAAAGATCAAATTCTGAATATATATATATATATATATATTGTATTTACCCCAAAATTTTGAATAGTTTATCCACTATTTTTTTAAAAAAAAAAAGTTCTTTCATTTTTTGAGGGTTAAACAATTAAAATTGTCACATAAAACAATTAGTTGACTTCAAGATGAATATTTGTGAGTTTCTTTTAAATATATTAGGAAATAACTTTTTCCCGTGAAGATTTTTTTGAAATTTTTGCTTGATTACAACTAAACATTTGACTTTGACATGAAAAGCCAACTAGCTTCTTATCATGCCAACTAAAAAAAAAAAATGATTTCATAAATCCCATGCATTAAGAGCATAAGATTTTATAACTCTCAAATCAGTAGATTAATAAATTGGCAGTCAAGGGCTGAAAACACAATCATATTGGCCAGCATTATGAGTAAATTTCAAGTCCCTTTAAATTGCTTTCGTCTCATCTAAACATATCCTTGGTAAATGTGAATTTTTATTTTCTCTTTCGTGGGAAGAGAAAAATTCTTCAATATTTTAGCAATGGCAAAGAAACCAAGCATGGGTTGCCTAAAGATCAAAATCGCGAAAATAGAGAAAAAATCACTTGCAAGTCACATTTTCAAAACGTCGCTCTGGACTTTTTATAAAGTCAAGTGAATTTTGCACACTTTATGGCGTAGAGATTACTATCAAAGTTTTCTCTCCTGCTGGTAAGGTCTTCTCTTTCGGCCACCCTAATGTGGATTCCATCGTAATCAGTTCTTGACTCGAAACCTTCCACCAAACACCACCACAAGCCACATCATTAAGGCTCATCGTAATGCTAGCATGCCCAAGCTTAACTTATAACTTACCCAAATTCTCAATGAATTAGAGGTCGAGAAACGACATGGTGAAACCCTAGAACATGCGAGAAAAGCTAGCCAAAGACTGTTGGTGGGAAGCTCCAATAGACGAGCTTGGGTTGCACGAGCTCAAGAAGAGCCTCAACAACTTAGGAATTCAATGATGGAACTCAAGAAGAACATGACCAATTAGGCGAACAATATTTCAATTGAGGGCACGACGGGGCACGACAAATCCTTCACCATTTTTCTTACGCTACTAAATACCCGGACTTTTTGCAATGGTCTCAAACGTTGCAAAAGATTCATATATTGTCACAAAAAGTCTTGCAACGGAACAGCAATGGGAAATGAGTGGCGGCGGAAAGGGATGTGACAAAAAGTATTTGCAACAATTACAAACCGTTGCGTTCTTATAGCGACGGCTAATCAATGATTTTTGCGACGGTTTAACCTGACACAAAAAAAGAAAAAAAATTCACTTTTAGTGATGATGGTGGATGCCGTCGCCAAAACTTTTTTTGCGACGGTATTTGACATCGCAAAAAGTATTATTAGTAACTGTCCAAAACGTCACATAAAAAGTAAAGTTAAATTAATATTGTATTTGCGATAGCTTAAACCGTCTCGAAAAGTATTATTAGCGGCGGTCTAAAACATCGCAAAAAGTAAAATTAAATTAATACCATATTTGCGACAGTTTAAATCGTCGCTAAACATTTGAACTAATATATATATGCTACAGATTAACCCGTCGCTAATAAAATGTAAGAAAATGATGATTACATTAGTGACGGTTATTATTGTTGCAATAAAATTATTTTATAAAATTAATATATATTTTATTAATTTATTCTCTGTACAAATTATTAATATTTTCTAAAATAAAATACATCTACATCCACATCTACATCTACTTATATATGTACCTGTAACAATCGTCAACTAAAAATTCTTTACAAAAATATATAAAATATTCTCCAATAATATTAATATAATTTTTGATATGCAAGAACTTAAAATTTGTATCTAAAGTAAAACAAAAGTATGAAAATGTAAATAAAAAAACATATATATTATAATTTGTTTTAATATCTACAGTAAGCTCCAATATCGATATGTGAAGATATCATTATGTACTCAAAACAGATTGCATCTGCCAAAGAAATACAAAAAAAATATCATTTACAAAGGATGAATCTAATCCCAAGTACAATCAATTGTACAAGAGAAGGCACTAACTAGTTCATCCCAACGTTAAATGTGACTAGCAATAGTCTTGTTTGCCTAGACTATATGTCAAACCCGATGTAATTAACAGCTCATGGAGAAATTTCAATTTCAAATTTATACAAGTGGCTTTAACAAACGAGACCCACAATATTCACCAAAAACCACACGAAGATAGAGGCATATGAGCTAAGCATTTTTTGTCCTACTTGCCCCAAAACACAAAGCATAAACAACATAATTTAAAAATGGGTACATTTTATATCCCTAAACTATCGCCAAATCATATACTTAGTCCCTGAACTATCGATTGAGTCTATTAAATCCCTAAAATATATAAATCAAAATATATTTAGTCCCTAAACTATCGATTGAATCCATTAAAACCCTAAAGTATTTAATTCAAACTTGTTTAGTCCCTAAAAGGATTACAAAAATAAAATATAAGCCTATAAATATTATAAATTAGTAAAAGACTCAATCTAGTTAAAATTTTATTTAAAAAAAAAAATTAAATTTTTATTATCTTTGAAAAGTGGACGTCAGTCCTTATGGTATAAAGGGTAATGATAAGTATCTATAGTATTGATCAAATTAATACTACAAAAGAAAAAAGAAAAATGGGAAGATTTAAAATGTCTTGGAAAAAAACATAATTGAGTCACAAAATTGAAGCTCACAAGAAACTGAAGCATAGAGGAGACTGCATTCAAGCATAGCATGGTTTTGCAAAACTGAGCAAGCAGAACATATATACCTTGGTATCATTGTGAGCAAGTCGAAGCTCTTTCAACTCAGTGCATGACTTTAGTGAATCAATGGCTTGAAGTTGGCAATTAGATAGAGAGAGCTGGAATCATGAATAAGTCACAATCCTAGCACTAAAAGGATACACTGATGTTGAAGCTTGCCATTTATAAATGCTTACCTTCGTGATTGATTTCACCTTGACTAGAGACTCTCCAAGTTTATTGATTGGATTTCTAGAAAGAACTGAAGAGTATACAGAACCCAAAAAAAGAACTCAAACTCAAAACGTAAACATTTACCTACAGTGTATATTGTAAGAACTACTATCATAAAGAACAAGATGTTTAATTATTAAATTATAATCAAAACCAGGATTTGTTTAATAAAACGATCTATACATGTTCAGAAATTCTCATTCTTTTCATACTCTGGTCTAGTCACACACACCTAGAAATAACAGGACTTGACAAAGAATAAAGGTGCATCCTGTGCAAGCTTGGTTTTTAAAATTAAAAAAGAAAAGACTAATTAAAAGAAAATTAGATCCATTTCTGATTTCTCCATCACCTATACAGTTGTACCAGAATTGTGTTACAAACACATTAAACCCCATTGAGGCAAGGTTTAATCATTATATCCGCATTTGGATTGTTCAGAAACCTTCTACATGGCTGAGGTAAACATATATCATATGGACCCACAATTCGGTTTTGAGCCATGTAGAGAAAAGACAGGTCAACTTAAATATAATTGAGGCTCCATTTAACATTTAGATGTACCCTATTATGCATTAAGTGTATTTCAGGTCATTGGCTTGAATTGAAATATTTGTACAATGTGAACATACAGGGCTGAGGTGAACATATGGACCCCCGATTCCCTTTTGAGCCATGTACAGAAAGGTCAACTTAAGAAAAAATTGAAAGTGCATTTAACATTTGACTTTACCCTATTATGCATAGAGTGTATCTCAGATCACTGGCTTGAATCGAAATATTTTGTTCAATGTACAAAGGTGGTGATTGGTTGTATATATGATGTTGCTATCAGTAAATCATCTGAAGCTTCTAAAATTTCACAATACAATTAATTTTCTCATTTATCAATAAATATACCCATCAGTTTAGAGAAACAAAAAATGACTGCTTGTTTGACACAAACCTAGAACTAGTCAAGAGTAAAGTACTGAAAAAAATATAAAGATTGTAGATAACAATGGAAATCATGTAAGATAATATGCTTATATTATATCCACAAACGAATAGTTTAAAGCTGATTTACATACACAAGTATACAAATTCTCAGCAACTGGACCATCACAAGTGTCGGAAGAACAAATAAGTTAAGTAAGTTTAGTGGCAATGAGGTGATTCAGTTACATGTCATAGGCATAGCATGGGTATTGGGCAATAATATCATCAACATGGTATGAAATTGATTACTGAAAACTCATACCTAAAGTGTTCAATTCTTTCAATTGATCAAGCCTGCAAATGGAAACAATCTCATTATTTGCACAAAGAGGGATTCATTAGCGGAAATAAGGAAATTAAAAATTGTATTTTTCCAACCAACAAAATTAATATAGACATCAGAAATTAAAAACTGAGGTGATGCAGTTGGTCAAGATGGATCCTACCATTCAAGATCAATGCACGTAAGCTCAAAAGAGATCTGACCTCATCCATTGATTTAAGCTTATTTTTGCTGGCATTCAGCACCTGCTTCACAAAAACTTGAAAAAATTAAATTTGGAAAGTGTCAATTTAGTTGTAATAATTTAAAATCTAAACCAGTGAAAAAGACCACTCTATCTCATCATGTGCTGCCAATTGACATTGCAAATGTATCTAAAAGGATTTTAATATGTACATACATACAGACATACATACATACATATATATATATATATATATATATTCGCCTTAAAGAATGAAGTATTCAACAATTTAAAGGATGAAATAAGTATCAAGTTTGAAGCATACAGAAAGAAATATGCAATAAATTTTACAAGATTCAATCACATTAGTAACTAGAAAGTTTAGGGATTAAAATTCAAGATTCCAAATACAAATTGATTGAACAACCAAAATCAAAAGAGCAGTTTTCCTTCAATATTTGTTGAATATGTAGTAATAGTAGTATATTGAACTCAATTTTGCTTACTTTGAAACAGAACAAAACTGCAACCTTTGTAACCACAAAAGGTAAATATAAAAGGTAATATTAGCAACATACTCAAACAAAACATTCTATTGCTTCTATTTTAACAAGAATCTTGTCTTATTGAAGTCAGTTTATAGTTCAAATGGTTCTCCGCAAATACTCCGGTTTTTGTCCTTGAACGGTTTAAGAGAGTTGACTGGACCGGAGCCTCACCCGGTCAACTCTTCAACCGGTTGAACCGGCCGGTCTGGTCCAGTTTTCAAAACCTTGATTCCAACGCATGTTTGATTTTGCATTTTTTCCTCTTTTTCTTTTTAAAAGACTCCAAACCCTAGTAAGTATGAGCACAACTTTTGAATAGGACCTTTATTTATCAAACTAGTTTGCAGAAAAAACAGGTTCTTTTTTTTTTATCAGCAAAAAGAAGGAAACTTTATTGAAGAACTAAGAGAATATTACATCAATAAAGGAAAGGGGGATGAGTGCAAAAAGCATCATAACGAAACAAACCAATCCCAACTAGTTTGGCACCGATAAGTCCACCCAATCATATTCTAGCACACCATCAAGAGTTGGTGAGTAACCAATCACAAACATAGAACCAACCCACACCCAAGATAATAGCTAAACAAAACCAAAAGCAACAAAGGCCATGACACCTCCTCTGCTTCACAGCAGCAAATTAGCTAAACAGCAAACCAGCAAATCAGCAGCAAATTTGCTGCATCACAGCAGCAACACAGCTCACAGCAGCAAATTAGCTAAACAAAACAGTAGCAAAACAGATCTCCTCTGTTCACAACTCCATCTCAGACCATGACACCTCCTCTGCTTCACATACAGAGTCCCAGCAGAGCACTATAAGCAGTGCACAGTAATCTTAAAAATACACATGTGAGCTATATGTGGCTCCTTGCGAAGGAGACTACACCGTGACTATTATTTTTTTATCATTTTGCTCTGCATTGCTCTTCTACATGCATATATGCATATAGATCATTGTTCTCGGTCAATAAAGTAATTCACAAGCATAAACTCATGTTCCCAGCCCTGGATTTTGGATAGCATCCTCATCTGGCACAGATGTCCAAAGTCAAAACACAACACTTGAGTTCATATCCACAAATTATAGCTAATTTCATCATAGGAATTCCAACATTAATCAGGGAAATTCACAACTAGGGAAGAGATTTCCAGGCAGCCACGTCACCCTTGGCTTTGGACTTTAAAATTTGCTCCATTAACATATTTCTTTCCAAATTTTTTACCTTGGCAGTAGTACGAGACATTTAAGCATATGTTACTGCATTCCACATCACATTTAAGCATGCATGCCTTTTTGAATTCCACATCTTGAAGGTATTAATTCATATGTTATTGATAGCAAAAGGTATTAATTCTTATGTTTCATGCGTAAATATGCTTTTTGGAAGGGGAATCATAAAGTCAATACTTCATGCACATCTCCGGGCTATTAGCAAATGAACATCTATGTTAGTGAAGAGATCCTTTACCAGATAAAGCTACTTAATGATTTTTCTCTTTAATTTAACCCATGCATCGTGAAACTATAAGAAATTTTTAACACCTTATGCTTGATGCACTGTCATGGGCTGAAACTAATGACACCTTAAATTTCAACTGATCAGCTTCGTAGAGCCTTATTCACCCGTCACTCTACTAGAGTTTAATTTTTTATTACATGACATGCCATCTCTTCTGACCATCATTGTCTTCATGTTCTCCTTGTAATGCCTTTAACTTGAACCAAATTATGACAAATTGCAATCAGTGGCATTTTTGCATCAATCATCACATATGATTTTCTGTTTGTTTGTTCTCATTTTGAACTGTTTCTAGTTTGTTTGTATGATTTAGTTTACATTACTTGAATACTTAAGTATTCAATTAACCCAATTTTCTCAATATCCTCACTCATTTTGGTTGTCGCGTCTTGTTTCTCCAATTTTTGTACCATTTGTATGACCCAATTTACAGGTGCCTTTTAGAACTCTTCCTTTGTGTTGATGGGGCATTTTATAATATCACAACCATGGGGAATGCTTCTTTACTTCAATTTAATTTTAAATCTATTGAGTATCAACAATTTCATGTTCTTTCTCTCGTTTGTGGATCTTGATTATATGTTAACGGAAAAATGGACACCTTATGGTATTTGATACTTAATAACAACTTGAACCCTTTTCAATCTTATGTTGGTTGCACCTCATGTATTTAAGATTAGTCTTGCTCATAATATTCAATTTTAAGTAATTGGAATCAAGTCTTGTTGAGTTTGAGTCACAAAGTTTCCATAATGCCCTAAATTGTATAGCATTATTTTATTTGCATGGAAGCCGCACTTTGGAGTACGTTTTGGGTTGTATACTAAGTTCATAAATAGCCCAAATATCAACCTTTGATGGAAGCCCATGATTGACATTTTATTTCTGATCTCTAATTGTTTCAAAGCTTGTAATTGCTCCAATATATATGTTCAATCTTGAAGGAAAATGTTAAGTTCAAGCTGCCCCTCTATTTAAAGAACCTATGAAACCACTTTTTTTTAGTTTTAAGGTAGGGAGGCTTTTATGCCAAACATTTTCATCTCTTGCCTTATTTTTATTGATAACAAAATGTGTTTGATCTTGCGAAGAAGCCAGGTCAACTTTTTCATGTTGTTTCTTCAATGGTGTAGTCTTTTCTATCACTGACAATATCTTACACTGCTACTCCTAAATTTGATGCCATGTTATTTATTGAAAAATAAAAAATAAAATAAAATAAAAGATTGATGGCATGAGAGTTGTTCTAGATAGTTTTAGTGATGGAGCATGTATTACAACTGGAGCTTGTAATGCCAAGGAGGACAATTGAATTGAAAGTTGAGACGATTTGATTATGTGGCAAAAAACAAATACTCCTACAAGAATAAGGACTGATGCCTTGTAGTTAAGGGGCTGCAAAAACTATGAGAAAGCTTATGTTATTGCTTGAGATAAGTCATGACTTTGATGATGACCAACTAGTCGAGAGACATTTATTTAGATAGAACAATATCATAAGATTCAAAACAAATTCATGTAGCTTTGCCTATAATTTGGAAGGGTATTTCACTGTGTCACACAGCTAGAGCTACCATAGTTACTTGTAAGTTACAAAATACTCTAACTTCATTATTATTCATAATTTTTTCTTCCTTTGTTCAGGTATGGATTTTATGATGAATGCTTGAGGAAGAATGGAAATGCTAATGTCTAGGCCAAATAACAAATATTACCACAAGAATAAGGACTGATGCCTTGTAGTTAAGGGGCTGCAAAAACTATGAGAAAGCTCAAAATGTTATTGTTTGAGATAAGTCATGACTTTGATAATGACCAACCAGTTGAGAGACATTTATTTAGATAGAACAATATCATAAGATTCAAAACAAATTCATGTAGCTTTGCCTATAATTTGGAAGGGTATTTCACTGTGTCACACAGCTAGAGCTACCATAGTTACTTGTAAGTTACAAAATACTCTAACTTCATTATTATTCATAATTTTTTCTTCCTTTGTTCAGGCATGGATTTTATGATGAATGCTTGAGGAAGTATGGAAATGCTAATGTCTAGAAGTATTTCACCGATCTTTTTGATTATCTACTCCTTACAGCACTGATTGAGAGTCAAGTTTGTGTTGTGCATTGTACAGTGACAGACGATGAAAAATATATTTTCTTTATGCCGTATACATGTCATGTCCGTATTCTAATTTTTTCAAAATACTTGTCTCGTGCCTGTGTCAATGTTCATGATTGTGTCTATGTTCATGCTTCCGGTTAACAAAATAGGAACTAACAATGAGAAATTAGAGGGTAAACCTAAAAATGAGGTCAGACAATATACAAGAAGATATTAAAAAATTGATTGGGAAACACAATAGGAATCCTAGCAAGTAATATTTGGCAACCATAAAAAATAAAAAGAACTGGAAACTTATATGAATACTTCAATAGATACACTTATATATATATGGGGGGGTAGATACACTTATATATATGAAAAAAGAAGAAGAAGATACTTCAATTGATAATTTAATGTAACATATTGAATGCTCAATTAAAAGAAACAATAAGGAAACTAATGGAAATTACTTGAGGTTCATTATAGGAAGCAGCGTATGAAAGGAATTATTAGTGTATTGAGATAGCTAATTCTCATCTCACAGTATTTAAAATTTAAGCCATAAATATGCAAATATTAAGTTTTATATAGATTTAAAACTAGGGTTCCAATCCCTTCTCTCTCAATCTCCAAACTCTGCACCACTTTCTAGGGTTCCAATGAAGAGGGTTTGATTCCAATGAAGGCAAAAGAAGAGAAAAAGAGGAGAGAACAGCGGAGGAGAGCGGAGGAGAGATACCTGGATGCCGGATGGAGAACCAGTGGGAAGTCGCCGCCGCTACCGCTGCTACAGACAGACTGTGAGGATAACGCAAGAGCGAGAGCAAGAGAGAGATAGTGAGGGTCTGTGCGAAGGGGGTTCTGTGCGAGCGAATGTGAGAGGAGAGAAAAGGAGAGGAGAGAAGGTATCTCACACTGGTGCTGTTAGGGCTTTGAGATGGAAAGAGACGACTGGGAAAAGGCAGACCGTTTTTTCCCCCCCTTTTTTTTTTTTTTTGGATATAAGAACAGGATACTGAAAGGGTATATGGAAGACAGAGCAAAGATGAAGAGTGCGGGAAGCAAAAAGATTTTTTTTTGCCACGAGAAATAAACAACGTTGCAAAAAAAATAAACAATCGCAAAAAAAAAAAAATAAAAATAACCGACGAGTGACAAATCGTCGCGTAAAATACTATTTTTTGCGACGGTCTTGGATTTTCTGTTGCAAAAAAAAATATTTCACGACAGTGTCATTTACAGTCACAAAAACATGTTTTTTGCCACAATTTTCAAACCGTCGCAAAAGGTTCAATGTCCAATACTCGCTTTTCTAGTAGTGTTAGTAAATGGTCACTAGAATGGTCGATCGTGCTGAGAGTAGAACATCTCATATAAATGCTTCTTTTCAACCACTCTTCATGTCCATAACTTTGGCTATTGTGGCCATGTATTTTTCTAAGGCTTTCTTATCCATTTTCATGGTAGTTCCAAGCTGGCTAGTACCTTACTAGCCATAAATGTCAATAAATCATTTTTCAGTTTTGTTTGTCCATGAATTGTGGTGATGATTTTTCATCTAATATTCATTAGTGTCATACATAATAAATATTAAATTAACTCTTTTGTTAGTAAGTGATAATAATCATAACTTTATCAGTTAAATTTTTATCATTGTCTAGATAGAATGGATTTCAGGTGGCTTTCCAAGGATGTCATTATCACACTATTGAATGAAGCTTTTCGCAAAAATTATGTTTCGCTTATATTTTTCTATAATAATAACTCAATCTTGGGATTAATATGGATGCTTCAAGCCTACTGTTATAGTAAGAAAAATTTACATTTTACCCTCAAAGTACATAACAAGGACACTTACATTTCTTCTTGTCAATCTGGAGCATGTCTACAATTCTTTGTAATGACACCATTATTATGTTCGATGACCAAAAAAAATACCATTATTATGTTCAAATATCTCCATGCTAAAAAAATAAATAAAATAAAATAAAATAATTGTGCATTCTGTTGCAGTAAAACAAAGTCAAATAATAAAGCATGGGTTGCCAAAGACTCCCTAAGTGGTTTCAATTTCGCATCAACTCACACACAGAATACCCACCCCACCCCCAAAGAAAATAACTAAATAGATAAATGAAGAACAAGAAGAAGCTTAGAAAAAATAATGCTCCATCTCACGAGAGAACCAAGTTCTGGAAGTACAGCAAATAATGTAATTTCATTGACTCAAGAAAAATTGTCTTAGTCGTAAAACATACCTGCAACATATTAAGGACAGTCCTGATTACATCTTGATCTTTCAAGAAATCCACATATGGCGTGCTTGTCCTATAATTTCAACCCATTTCTGCACAGAAAAATAAAACCATAAGCCACTAGCCACCACAGAGACTAGCATGGGCTTGAACAAATGCACATGCATTCCTGGAAGTAGTAGCACTTTTTATGTAAGCTTGCCTGATTTGGAAGCTCCATCAGCCTCTTCAAATATTCATCCCTCTTTTGAGGATCAGATTCTGCTTGAATCATATTGCTGACCTAAAACAGTAGAACATCAATTGTTACTTCACAACCACCCTTTATACAGTCTAATATTGGGGCATAAGACAACCATACTATTTATCAAAAAATCAGACAAACATACTGATTCATAAAATGAATGAATCTGATGGCGCTCAATATCAGCTATAGTTGTAGGAAGGCTTGTTAGAAGCTTAGATATAAATGGTTCGGTTTCTCCAAGCTAGAAACAATCGAAGAAAAGCATGACACATTCAAAGTTATATCCAATATGGAAAATTGACATTTGACTAACAAGATTAAAATAATGTTACCTGTACAATAACAAATTTACGCTTGTACTTCTGAACAATTTTCAAGAATGTGTCACAAGCCATATCCTGAAAGAATTATCACACACAAATTTTAACTCTAGTAATTTACTTTTCTAAGATTAAAAGGTAAAAGGCTGGCCATAGATGATGAACAAGATAGGAATGACAATACCCAATTAATGTAACACCACAAACTCCATATATGATATTAAGAACGCTATCAAAGTAATTAACTAGAACAATTGAAACAATATAAACACTCCAAATTTTATAACAAAAACTAGAACATAATTAACAAGTCTAAAATAAACACATAGATAGGACACATTGTGTGGATTGCACATGGACCAAAAAGTTATTGCAATGCATACCATTAATATCATAAACAACATCAAAGCCTTTAGCTGAGAGACTGGCTTTCACGAATTCAAAGTCCTTCCTGTTTCCTTTCAAGTGCAAGATCCACACTTAGAATACAATATTTCATTCCTCAACAAAGAAAAACATGAAACTGATCAAAAAGGCCAATAAAATTTTCTAGTCTATATGTCATAATTAATAACCTTGGAAGAAAAATCAGTATAATCCTTCTCTGATTCACCAGGCAATTGTTGGGTGATGGGTGGTTTTCCTCTTGTGAACAGAGTTACCTGCATTATGACATAAAACTTGTTTATTAAAAAGTCAAAGACGTCAACAAAAATAAATTTGTGTAGTAATTTGTTGACGTAATTTTAATTGCACACCATAAAGTGGAAAAGATGGTTAAGAAAGTTAAAACAATTGGGAAAAGAAAATCAGTACATGTAAATATTAAAATGTAAAGAGAAGGGTTCATACCTGCTCGCCTTCGTTTACAAGAAGTCTTGACAAAAACACACCAATAAACCGAGTCCCTCCCATTATCAGGATTTTCTTGGCACTTGATGCTGAAATGTGTAATGCTTCTTTTGGTTGCCATACCTTTCTTCTATACTACATGAGATATGGATATTAATAAATAAAGAAATACATAAATTGCTTGAAACACTGAGTAGGAAATGTGCAGTGTGTGTGATTCTCAACTCCTACATCAAGCCAGATCTTGCTTTCGGAAGCAAAAAAATTTTCTTCCAAAACACACCAACAAATGATGCCTAAATAAACCAACTAATTTGTTTGCTAATGAAACTGATGAGAGGCATTAACTTCATTAAGTTTAGAATAGATGCACACATCACATAGAACAAACTTTGGTAGACAAAAATAAGCAAAATGTTCATGCGTCCAATTCTTTTTTGCTTATTTTAGTATTTTTGGATACAAATAAGCACACAGTGACAAAAGTGAGGAATCAAAGTGACAGATTTCAGCTTGCCTTAATATTGTGATTTTGTAAGTGTTAATGATGACACATTTCCCTTGGAAAAAACCACTAGTCATTCTTTTTCCACTGTGCTTTAACATAAAATCAATACCTGGTAGTAGGGGTGTGCATAATACCGCCGAAACCGCCGAAACCGCCAAAACCGCACCGAACCGCACCGCCAAGGCAAATTCGTTATTATTTGTCAACCGAACCGCCGGTTTTCGATAAGGAAAATGGCAAATTCTAGTGACACTTTTATCAATCCGCCACCCGCCATACGGTTTCTATTTTTCTCTCAAACCGCACCGACCCGCACCGCGCACACCCCTACCTGGTAGCCAAAGAGAAAGTATAGCAATAATAGCATTCAATACACTACCGTTTCAAAATAGAAAGCAAATCTATACACAAGTTTACCAAATTTGTCATGTATTTGCCTAATCAAGAACAAGAATTGCAAATTATGATCACAAGAAAAAGCAATAGCATTTAATACACTATCTTTTGAAAATAGAAAGCAAATCTAAACACAAGTTTATTTCACTGTATTTGCCTGAGAAAGTACAAGAATTGCAAGTTAAGCATCAATCACACATGCACTTCAACTATTTCAAGGAACGAAAAAGTTAAAGAAATTCTCTAAACCCCAAGTTAGTCCTTCCAGGCTTCAAAAAAAAAAAAAAAAATTCAAAATCAAGAATTTGAAACCATGTTAAAAATAAAATAAAACAAAAAAATCTAGTAAAAATTTCCTTACATTGCACTTGTGGTCTCCATTTTGTTTACTATTTATCTAAACAGAGCTTAAATTTTCATATTGTTACTGCGCATCCATCAGCACCCACGCAAGTTCAAAATTGCTACAATCTTCGTTAAAAACTCAATATAGCTTGCAGGGCCTAGAAATACCTTGATAGAGAGTGAATCAACCAATTGATTTCCTCAAACTTGTAGAAATCTGCAAAAAAAATTAAAGAAGCGGAAGAATCAACCCATCGATTTCATGATGTATATATATATGTATGTATATGTGTGTGTGTGTGTGTGTGTGTTTGTTGGGAAAATGAAATTGATAGATCTACCATAATGAAGCTTAAGATCTCTGTCATAGATGTTGAATTCACCCATGTGTGGTGATCATCCAAGTCAAGTTTGGTTGGCAACAATGGGAAGGCAACCAACCAAAGTCCACCTTGGCGGCCACCAACCATCTTGAAGAGTCAAGAATGGAGGCTGCCCAAAGGCTCTCCCACCTACTCCCTCACCTATAAATGGAGGTTGAGAGGAGAGAGCAAAATGTGAGCAAACCGTGAGACAACAAAGAGTGCGAGAGATGTGAGGCGGAGAGACCGTCTCCCTCGGTGTGAGCGAGGGAGACGGGTGAGTGGCTGAGTGAGGAGAGTGTGAGCTCCTCCTCTATTGTAATCTTTCTGTAATCTCCTCATTGGTATAGTGATAACCGGTTACTCTCCCGTGGACGTAGGCATTGGGCCGAACCACGTAAAATATTGTCTCCTTGTGTGTGGGTGTGTTTTTCTGCTTGCAATGATTTCTATAAGGTCTTGGGCGGGATCCCAGATCCCAACAAGTGGTATCAGAGCCTCGTCGGTGGCGTTTCGGAACAAAAACAGCGTGTTGTCCGAAACTGCCCAGAAATCAAGTTGCTCGAAATCAGGTTTTGAGCATACCAGGAGCAAGGGCTCGAGAAGAGGAGTCCAACCATATAAAGCAGACACCCAGAGGAGGTCCCACGCGCCCTCACGCGCTACCTGAAGAAGGAGAGTGAGGCCCAGTCGCTGCACGCGTCCCCACGCGCCGTTCAGGCAACCGGCGCGTGGTCCCAGTCTCAAGCACGCGCTCCACGCGCGGCTGAAGGAAGAAGGCAAGTGGGGAGAGGCGCGTGTGTGG